CCATCTGCTTAAGTAAATCTCAATATAATTAAAAAATAAGTTGTTCTGCTTTTCTACTTTTTTTCTTGGATGGCAAAATACATACATATACACACACACACACACACACACACACACACATATATATACAAAATACATATAATACATATATATATATATGGCTAGTATCCTTTTTTCTTTTTCTCCTGTTGAGGGTTCACCAGGGTAGAATAAAGTGCTTTTGTTTTCCATTGCTTACCCTAGCCTGGAAAGGAGAGGTGGAATTTCCCATAGCATGAGCTTTCCCATCCTCCTTGGGTGGTCGATGTTGATTTCCATGGTTTTTAGACCCCAGAGGGTCCCTGAACTGGATCTCTGCAGAACAGGAGACAGAGGCTGGGTCTCCGCTGAAAGAAGCAGTGCCTAACTCCAGAGAGATTTTCTCCAGCTTGGCCAGTTTGGCAAGAATTGTTCATCTTTAGGATGACAAAGGTAGTTTAATTTCTTAATTGTAGTTCAAGTAGAAGAAACAGTAAGACTTGACACTGAAAATATAATGAACATTTGGAGGGTTCTTTATCTAAAAAATTACAGCAGAATCCAAAGATGTTGACATTTTCACCTCATTGGAGTCTTTCAAATGTCAGTCTTTTCTTATATGAAAGAAAAATGTGATTAAAATGTCCTCCAGAGCCTCCTAAAGGAAACTTAAGAAATGCCACCTAACCTATCTTAAGTCAGATTGCCCCAAATATACCTTCCACATTTATAACATTTATCTATCATTTTTGCCAATGTAAAATAAACATATAAACATCCAGATATAGGCTTAGTTATATTTATAGATATAGTTTTATACACATCCTTCATATAGTGGCTGAGTCTACTCTATAAATTATAGTCTGCTATATAAATTACAGTCTTTTGTCATTTAACAACTGCATTATCAAATTTATTGATGTATATTGATGTGTTTTAAATTCAACCTTATTGTTTGGTGCTGGAGCTGTTTTTAATTATGTTTGTTATTATGAATAGAACTGGTCTGAACAGATTTTTATGAGTTACTTCTGTTTCCAGTTGAGATATTTAGTTGGGAATTTTTTTCCCCCCCAGATAAAATTCTAGCAGTGGAGGAAAAAAGAATTTAAAGGCCTATTTTATGTATTGATAGATTAGATGCTGAAAGGTATAACTCTTATCTCATAGGTTTACCGATAGATATTTTTAATATTAGCCATGTTTTTATTAATTTAATAGAAATAATGATTTTGTTTCCCCATTTCATTTATATAATTATTTTTGAAGATGTGAAGTTAATGAAAAATCTAGACTATAAAAGCATTTATTTGTTCTTGTACATTTTGGATATTTATCTTTTGCACAATTAATAATTTTAACATAGTAGCGTAGTAGTTCAAACGGTCACAGTGCTATACTTATGTCCCTTGTCAGTGCCCTCAGACCTCTAAGTCCTACTGTATAGAGGTGGCTACTCTAAATTCCCCTTGCTTCTAAGTGTCCAAATAATGCACTCAATATTATGTTTATTTCCAAATATTGCACTTACATCATGCTTGTCTGCTGTTTCTTGATATTCCTATTTTAGATGTCATCTATTGACTTCCAATGTAGAAGATGCAGATTTTGGTCTCTCACACCATTGCAAGGTTCTGAATTTCCTTCTACCCACCCACCATGTATTTTCATATGACGTTAACAGGATATCATAATGAAATACGGGATATGGACCCATTTACAGGGACTGATCTTTTGAATTAATTCTTTTTGGAGGGGATATTACACTCGCTGCTCAACTCCCCCACATCTAATCTCTGGCCTTTCTTATCCCATCTGCCTCCTCTTGCCCTCTTCCTAGCTGGTCTCTACCTCTCCACCTGCGTCATCAACTCCAGGCAAGGCAGTCCTGAGCCATACCTCTGCCGGGTGGTGGCAACTGCTTTTACTTATAGACTCAAGTATGTGTTCCACAGAATTGTGGCTTGAGAATTTTAAGAGACGATGATAATGATACTTTAATAATAAATAGCTAACGTTGGCAAAGAGACTCTCTAGCACAGGGGTCCCCAACCCCTGGGCAGAGGACCAATAGGGGTCTGTGGCCTCTTAGGAACCAGAGGCACATCAGGAGGTGAGCAGTGGGCAGAGAGAGCGCTAGTGCCTGAGCTCCGCCTCCTGTGTGCTGAGTTAGATTCTCATAGGTGAGGAGCCCTATTGTGAACGGATCAGGCGAGGGACCTGGGTTGTGTGCTCTTATGAGAACTTAATTAATGCCTGATGATCTGAAGTGAAACAGTTTCATCCTGAAACCATCCCACCCACTATCCGTGGAAAAACTGTCTTCCATGAGACCAGTCCCTGGTGCCAAAAAAGTTAGAGACTGCTGCCCTAATGTACCAGTTCAGACAATCTTTTCAGGTAGGCCAACCTGGGTCCAAATCCCAACTCATCCATTTAGAGCCGTGTAAACTCTGGTAATTTCCTAGCTCATTTGCATTGCAGTTTCAAGTACCTATTGCCAGATAGATCCCAGAAGCAGCCGTTGCTGGAGGATCCACTTCCATGATGGTTGCCTCAGTTGCCATCTGGCGCTGCTTCGTGGTGTGTTTTCTTTCCACAGAAGCAGATTTTGTTCTCCCTCACTGCTTTTACGATTTTCCAGGTGGCTCAGGGTCTCTGAGCACAGCGGAGTGAAGGTAGCCAGACACTTGATCTGGCTTCTGACATGTCCTAGAGCAGTTGTTCTTAGGGCAATCCTTCTAATGCAAGAATTTCAGATGTTTAGGCAGCCCCAAAACCTCACTGTTGCTGCAGTCTGTTGATCAGGCAAGTCACTAGGGCCAGCCCCAACACAGAGCAAAGGAGAAGGACTGGATGTCATCTCTCCACAAGAAATGGCATGAGTGCACAGGATAATGGGCATCTCGGAGCCAAGGGCCCACGCTGAGCTATCTGACCTTAAAATAAAGATAATAATTGTGATATTTCTCTCATAGACATGATGTTAGGATTGAATAACATACTGTGTATAAAGGGCATAATAAACACCAAATAAATATTAGCCATGTAGTTAATAAGCATATCATGTACCTGGAGCATACTTATGACATTTGAGAAAACTGTGCTAACTTATATCTTAGTTTTCTATCAGTTTCATGTATTTTCTCTATTTGTACACTGTTAAATCTCAAATATAACCATGTTGCAAAATTTTACGAAACAGAATGATGTTTAATCTTAATTCCACCATTGCTATTATTATTTTGCTATATAAATTTTTTTCTGTGTTTTATATTGTTGTAATTTTAGTGTATGGGTGATATTATATCTTACTTTTTCCACTTTCATTATGTTGTAAACTCTCCTCCTCCATGCTGTGATAGTTTTCATAACCGTCATTTTGAATGTTCTCATAGCATTAAATATTGAATAGATGTATTAGAGTTTGCTTGACCATTTTTCTACATTGAGTCTCTTTCTACATGTGCTTATTTATTTTATGCCATGTAATTATATTTACTAGAATTTAATGTCCAACTGTAATAGTCACCTACACTCTGTCTTGTCAATTTCATTTTTTTCCCTCCCTTGCTCAATTATCTTTAAAGTCTTTAGTTTTCACCTAAGCCAACTGAATTTCTTACTAAATATTTAATGTTATAAGAACATTTAAATGGAAAAAATGCATGAATCACAATGGAAGAGCATGTAGAACTCTGAAGAAGTTAAGTGAGAGCAAGGTAGACCTGGGGAGTTAGCTGGGGATGGTCTTCTAGACATCGAAGGTTGCAAAATCTGCCATGTGAATCCCACAAACATGAAGCAGTCATAGGGAGAGAGAATCTTACATTGAACCAAGCCCACAAAGGCTGCTACGTAAACCGGGTCAACTCTTCTTAGTTCACGGAAAGAAACTGCAAGGTTTCTGCTCATAAGACCTCTGTACTTGCTTCTTTCCCTGTAGGTACATTGTCCACGAAGTCCTATGGTAATTAGAGGGCTCATTGAGCAATTCTAATCATCATGTTTACTGACACTCTAGGTGGCAAGCTTTATGCTAAGCGCTTTACATGAGTCACCTTATTGTCTTCACAACTTCGGACTCCAGTACTAATACTATTATAATTCTGTAGATGAGGAGGCCGAAGCTTGTAACTTATCCAAGGTCACATTAGCAAAGATGAGGTAGAGGAAGCACTTCAACTCGTATCTGTCCGATTCCTACGTCCGGACTCCTATCCACCAAGTGCGCATGGAATGTGAATGAGGGAATTAATTCAAATTCACATTTGAATTTAATTCAAGTTTCTTTAGCATCTGGCTGGCTATCTCAGTAACGAAGGTGGATGGGTCAGATTTACTATAAAACCCTGTTTCAGTGACTCACCCTTTTTCTATTATTCCTTTGAGCATCAAAGCATCTTGTTCTTTACCTTTGTTAATACCTTCAGTTCAGTTCTCAGTGGCCTTGGAGCCATTCTTTCTCTGCTAGGTGACTTTGCAAATATTGGTTCTGATGCACTGGTTTTATGACATGCCTTTCTTTTTGGAGAAACTTTCCACTATCACCCTCCAAGATGAAATGTGTCCTGCCGACCTGCTAAAACTCAGGAGGACAGTTTCCAGGTGCCCTGCCTAGTAGGAGTTTTGTTCTGAGGCAGCACCCACTGTAGTCACAGCTTGTACTTTTGTATTTTTCATGCCAGATAGTAACCAGGTCAAAACATTAACAAGCCTTGCAAATGTGAGCAGGGAAAATTGTTTCCCCTGGCTGAATGGACTCAGGGGGTGAAAATAAGGGGAGACAGAGATAGAAAAATGAGTTAAGATGAAGCCTTTGAGTTGATATTTCTGAAGAATCACTTCATGGTAAGCAATGCAATAAATCAGCAGACTAAAAATACTACAACCGTGACTTCCATTATGTGCTATTACACACGGTTTATTACCACTGTGATTTTTCTTTATTTGCTTTGTTTTCTTTTTATTTTTCTCAACAGGATGTGAAGAACTGGCAAAACTTGACTTGACTGTAAATTTCATTGGAGAGCTGAGCAGCATTAAAACCTTGAAGCACAATATCCATCTGAAGGAACTCTTTCTCATGGGGAACCCATGTGCTTCCTTTGACCACTATAGGGAGTTCGTGGTAGCAACTCTTCCACAATTAAAGGTATGGTTATTTTAATGGCACAGAAATCACGGAGAAATGAACATGAGCAAATACAATAATTCCTGCTTTACTTGCAACAACAGTGAATGTGTTGCTTCAGATAATGGAATATTCCAGAGATCCCAAGGTAATTATTTAAATGGCTAGACCTTTAATATTGTTTGAATAGTTTTAATAAATCCCTGAAAAATAAATTGCATACTTTTCACCTTTCTCATCCGAAACACACAGAACTTAATTTGACTTTTTCTCAGTGAGTTCAAATCATAGACGCAGAAGATTCATCATTACTGATTAGAATTCATTATTACTTACAGCAAGCCAGAAGTTTAGGGTTTTAGAGGTAGCTACAGCCATGTACCTTTGTATTACATAGTCTCAAGCTATGTGCTTTTGTAATTACTATTTTTATCATTGCTTTTTCTTAACATATTCTCTATTGCAGTGGCTCACAGTCTTTATTTATTTATTTATTTATTTTTGAGAAGGAGTTTTGCTCTCGTTCTCTTATTGCCCAGGCTGGAGTGCAATGGGATGATCTCAGCTCACTGCAACCTCCGCCTCCCGGGTTCAAGTGATTCTCCTGCCTCAGCTTCCCAAGTAGCTGGGATTGCAGGCATGTGCCACCATACCAGGCTAATTTTGTATTTTTAGTAGAGACGAGGTTTCACCATGTTGGCCAGGCTGGCCTTGAACTCCTGACCTCAAGTTATGCACCCACCTCGGCCTCCCAAAGTGCTGGGATTACAGGCATGAGCCACCACGCCTCGCAGGTTCACAGCCCTTGGCATGCCTCAGAACATGTGGAGGCCTTTGCAAAACACACACTACTGTGCTCTTCCCCCAGGGTTTCTGGGTCATGTCTGACGTGGGGCCTGAGAGTTCACATTTCTAACAAAATCTGGTAATGCTGCTGCTGGTGCAGGGACCTCATTTGATAACCACTGCTGTGTCTGTTACTCTTATACCATATTCCCCCAATCGAATAATTTTAGAACTGAGGAAAAAAATAAGATTTCTTGAGAAATCATACAACAGAGAATATTAGAAAACAGCATTCTTAAGTTTCATATAATTCTAAGAGTTCCCAGCCTGCATGTGGTTCCATGTTTTTTCAAAGAGAATGCATGGAGACATCACCTTTACAACAGGCATTTTTTTTCAGTTCTCAAGGGATGTTTGTTTCTTAGCCTTCTGCGTTCTCTGTAGTCAACAGACTGCTGACTGCTGGATTAATGGAACACATTTCTTCTAATGTAAAATTTCTCAGGTTAAGAGAATGAGTGATTCTGGTAATTGAATATAGAATAAATGTTAAATTGTCTCAAACGTAACCTAAACTGATCATTATTATGCAATGATTTCCGAAAAATGAACTGGTGAGAACCTGACTATCATAGAACCAGATCTTGTAGTGTAATGCTGTGAGCCATTCCCTTGGAAGGGATAAAGGCCCAGAAGTCCTTGTGGCCGCTGCAGCTGAGCCTGTGCCAGTACTGCACTGGGCAGGCTAGAGGTATGAGAGCCGTCACATGGCTGCTTCAGGCAGGGTCAGAGGTTGTGCCACGAGGTGCTTTGTGCACAGTGTTTCTGATCCTCCCAGACCCATGCAGGGGGACAAGTGCATTCAGAGATGAGGAAGTCAGGGCTCGGGGAATTAATGCTGCTGGTTTAAGCTGACACATCTGGCAAGGGACACAAGTGGGATTTGAACCTAGGTGAGTCCAACTTTGATACCTCCACCATTCATACTGTACCCGTACTCACTGCTTCTCTTTAGGTCAAATTACAGACTTTGGATCAAGTCTTTCTTTTCAGAAGGACTTCTCCAAATCAACAGCCCCCTTTTGAAAATAGTATTAACGTATTTACTAATATTTAAAAATAGGCTGATATACTTAAGAATCTTAATTACCATTTCATTGAAAGCTGAGCTGCTTGAAAGGAATTGTGTTAATAAATGTATTATTTTCCCAGGGTTGATGTAACGAAGTACCACAAACTAGAGGCTTAAACAACAGAAATGTATCACCATATAGTTCTGAAGGCCTGACGTTCAAGTTCAAGATGTTGACAGGCTTGGTTCCTTCCAAGGGCTGTGAGGGAGAATCTGTTCCATACCTTCCTCCTAGCTTCTGTTGATTTGCCAGCCAATCTTTGACATTCTCGAGCTTGTAGACACATGACCCTAAGGGTCTCTGCCTTCGTCTTTACGAGACTCTTTTTATAAAGACACTGATCATATTCGCTTGGGGCCTGCCTGCTTCAGGATGATTTGGTCTCAATGAATCACATCGATAATCACTCTATTTCCAAAAAGTCCATGATTCGAGCTACTGGGAGTTAGGATTTCAACATCTTTTTTTGTCGGGGGTCCCAATTCAACCCATAACAACAGAGTAGTTATTTTAGATAGTCCCATAGAAGAGATGTGAGGAGAGTCAGGAGAGTCAGCCCCTTTCGAGGATTTTCTTCCCAGTCACTGAGCCGCCACAGGAGTAGGAAGGCCCTGCAGTATGGTGTGAAACAGATTTGTGAGCAGAGAAACCAGGGTCTGACAGCTGCTTCCACTGCCTGCAAATTGCATGCCTCATTTTACTCATGTAGACTGGGATCATCATTACTACTTTGAGCGAGTTCTGTGTGGCCTTCAGTACATCTTAGTGTCCCTTTCTCCGCTCCAGCACTTCCACAGTTATTATCAATAAGTGTGAACACTCCACCTTTGTGCTGCATGAATCCTGAGTGAAGAAAGATGAAGAAATGCTCAGCTTAAAACTTAATCTCTGAGGCCGGTTGTGGTGGCTCATGCCTATAATCCCAGTACTTTGGGAGGCTGAGGCGGACAGATCACCTGAGATCAGGAGATCGAGACCATCCTGACAAACATGGTGAAACCCAGTCTCTGCTAAAAATTCAAAAATTAGCTGGGTGTGGTGGCACACACCTGTAATCCCAGCTACTCAGGAGGCTGAAGCAGAATGGCTTGAATCCAGGAGGCGGAGGTTACAGTGAGCTGAGATCGCACCACTCAATTCCAGCCTGGCGACACAGCAAGACTCCGTCTCAAAAAAATAAAAAATAAAAAACTTAATTTCTGTTTCTTAGGCCTTCTAAACTCAGATGTGATTTTAGCTTGAAGGAAATGCAGGCCAATTTCAAAGACTAACAGAAATCACTAAAAGAATTAGGTTCCTAGAATAGATGCTGGCATACAGTCCCAAATTTGTCATCAGCTACTAATATGAGGTCTTTTGCCTCCTGTTAGTAAAGTAACAGAGGGTTCCATTGTCATAGCCTTTTAGGAATAGTAGTTGTAATTAAATCAATATTGACTTAAACCAATTATAAAGACAGAAATCAATCAATGAATGAATGTACTTCAATTACAAGGAAGAAAATATCAGCTTGCTCCCCAACGTTCTGTTGGGAAGAAATCTCAGTTGAAAGAAATTATATTTATTCAGAGTTTTCTAACTTGTTATAATAATACAGTTTTATATAGTGCATTTATGTTAATAATATATATTTATATATAAATTATACTATATAAAGTAATATAATGAAGTACCACAAATTGGATGACTTAGAAATTTATGAAAGTAATATATTTATATAGTATTATTCATATATAAATATGTTTTAATTTATATATTTATATATAACATATTACTTATATGTACTTACAAAATAAGTACATTTCATTTATCCAAAATTTTCCAAATTGATTCAGTCCCAACCTTGTATTAAAGGAGATCAGATTAAGTATGTGGACCACAATTACTTAACACCTTAAATAATAGGTTTTATTGGATTGAATTTTATCATTACTGTCTTATACATAATGGTATGAAGATACCTTTATTGAAGGATACTACAAGAAACAGCCTATGTAATCTGTGATTGTATGGGCATATTTCTACAGAAACAATGCTTGACATCTCTCAAGATCTCCATTATGAAACTCTGTGCTAGAAATGTGTTTTAGAGCTACATGTTAGAGAAAAGCTACAAACTGTATTTTTTCCTTAAAGACCATGAAAATTTTGTAACTAATTTTGTTTTTCTATTTCACTTTGGCTGCCAAGAAGCTTGGAACCAAATCTGCAGCCCATCTATAGCAACCATATGATTTCTTATGACCAGAACATATTTGGAATTATTTTTTCTAAATCTCCACATAATTTTGACTTATAATTTAGCTGATCCCAATAATTTTTTAATTTATATTTTACTAACTCTTTGTGTTTAGTTTTTTCCTTTTATATGTTTCCTATTGCTGCTGCAACAAATTGAGGCAAACTTAGTGACTTAAAATTATATAAATGTTATTACCTTACGGTTCTAAAGATCAAAAGCCTGAAATGGTTTCACTGGTGTTGGCAAGGCTATGCTTTCTTCAGGCTCGAGGAGAGAATCCCTTACTTTGCCCCTCTCAGCTTCTAGAGGTCACCTGCATTTTTAGGCGTATGGCCTCTTCCTCCATCTCCAAAGCCATCTTCACATCTCTCCGTAACTCTGACACTCTTTTACTTATAAGGATCTCAGTGACCCTTATGAGAATCACCCTGACTATTCAAGATCCTTAACCTAATCATCCCTGTAAGCCCGTTTTGCCATGTAAGGTAACATTCATGGAGATTAGAACATGGACATTCTTGGGGAACCATTATCTTCCAACCATACCTTCCTAAATACCTTGCCTCATTTCACAGAATAAGGCTAGATAGATAAATAGGTGTCTTTAAACTGTTAGTTTTAACGTTTTAGACTTTAGTTGATGGTTTTATTTTAATATTTTACTCTGGAAAATCATAATTGAAATGTCAGATGTAAACAGTGCTATAACAATAGCCCATCTGTTTGTCTTATTGTTAAAGGTGAAACATGGGCTCATTTGTATTAGAACCCAATCACGTGTAATATTCAAGGCCATTTTTTTCTTTAGAGAGCTTCTGGGAAGTGTCATTGTTTTACTCTGAAGGTATGATTTGACTTAAGCATTGAAATTTTTGACATAGTAAGCAATTATATAATTAACAAAATATTTTGAGAGCTTATATTATCAGTTTTGACAGAAGATCTAGTTATTATTATTACCAGTAAAGGTATTTTTTAAATTGTGTTAATTGTATAAACAAACATTGATTTAGACCAGGCGTCCCCAAACTTTTTACACAGGGGGCCAGTTCACTGTCCCTCAGACTGTTGGAGGGCCACCACATACTGTTCTCCTCTCACTGACCACCAGTGAAAGAGGTGCCCCTTCCTGAAGTGCGGTGGGGGGCCGGATAAATGACCTCAGGGGGCCGCAGTTTGGGGACGCCTGATTTAGACCAAAGTTCTGATATTTCCCATTAATTACACTGTTTTAATTCTCTATCACTGTGATATGTTATTATTTCTAAGTTTAAAAAGTTCTAATAAAAATCAACCTGGGGCTGATTTACACTGCAACTTTTGAACAATTGTACTATATTTATTGTTCTTTATTTAAGTGGTTGGATGGTAAAGAAATAGAGCCTTCAGAAAGGATTAAGGCATTGCAGGACTATTCAGTAATTGAACCACAAATCAGAGAGCAGGAAAAAGATCACTGTCTTAAAAGAGCCAAACTCAAGGAAGAGGCTCAGAGGAAGCACCAAGAAGAGAATAAAAATGAAGACAAGAGAAGTAACCCAGGCTCTGATGGATGTTGGTACACAGACATCAATGCTACTCTGTATGTAAATGATTCATTTACTTTCTATTTAACTTTTATTAAAAGCAGCAAACTGTGTTATTTTCCCAAGTTGTTTGCAGTACATGTGTATTCCAGATTAATTTGAAGAATAAAATGTGATGCGAATTTTGGATGGAAGAATATGAGCATCTCGTTGCTTGTGACAATTCTGTTAAGACTTTCTTTCCTTGGGGTGAAAATTCCTTTTTAAACTAGCAATTTAAATTTGCATCTAAAATTATTCTCAGAGAAATCTCCATAGAATATATACAGAAAAGATGAATTAATAGGTGTACTTTGATTTACCAACTAGGAATATTTTAGAAAAATTAAATACAAATCACATTTTTATAAATTGAATAATTATAATTGCATCATAAAACATTCTAGTTTCTGAATTATATACTGAATACATTTTTAATGTGATTAATAACTCTAATTGTTTTTTTAAACAAATTACAATTTTCGTGTTTGTTTAAGTGAATTGCAACTATGGTCAGTTGATATGATTCCACACAGTGAAAGTGTTAAGTATTTAGATAAGAGAATTCTTTAAAATTAAGGAAATAATAATTATAAAATATTTCAGGCGTACATAAATATTTGAAAATAGTTATATAGGCAGCTTGTAGTTCCACCAACTAGATTTCATCAATAACAATAGTTTGCATGTTTGCTTTCAATCATTTTAAAACAAGAAATAAAATACCATTAAGAGAATAGAAGCTCCTTAAGTACTTCCCCTTCATTCTGTTCCTCTCTTCATCCCTGTGGCATCTGCTATCCTGAAGCTGGGGCATATTTGATATATGTTGATCCCACCCATATTTTTAATACCTTTATTTCACAAGTATGCCTCCTTAAACAAGAGTAGTTTGAGTATGTATGCTTAGCGTGAATAATATCTTTCTATAGCTTTGCTTTTCATGCAACATTATGTTTTTGAGATTTATGCATATGAAGACATGTAAAACTATTTAATTTTAAATATAGAATAATATCCTGTTGGATGAATGAATTCCAATTTATTCCAGAGGTCATATTCAAAATAGTTAATAGCCAGTGTTTTACTTGCCCCACTAATCAGAATGTGCAGCAGCTCTAACAACACCTGTGGTCCTCCTAGTGGTGCCAGCTGGTCAGCCTGGACACTGCCATCCCTCTTTGGATGGCCATGCACGTTGTTTTCCCTGTTCTCATAAGAACAGAATCTTTTGGAAGTGGCATCACAGTCTGCCTTGGCCAGGGTTGTGTCTCTGGTGCCTGGCACAGCAGAAGATGCCCAGTAAATAGTTCTTGAATCCACGTTGAACATTGGTTGAGATGTTCAAGCAATGTTGCCCATGTCTCCTTGTTCAGGTATGAAGGTTTCTCTAGGATATTTAACAGTGGCATTGCTACAACAGTTTTGACATTTTTTTCAGCTTTATATGTATTGCGAAATTGTTTTGCTAGAGTAGTTGTAATAATTTATACTCATATATCAACAATATACAAGAGTTTTCAATCTTTGCCAATACTAGATAATACGATGTTTAAAAATACTGGCTAGTCAAGTTTGTTATTAAGTATCCACTCTTTTTTAAAATTTAATTTGCATTTCTATAGTTACTAGTGAATTTGAATATTTTGAATATCTTCTTCTATGTTTATTGGTTGTTCATATATCCTCTATTCAATTCCCCTACTTATTTTAAATGAGTTGTTAAGTCTTTTTTGCTATTGATGGTTCTTTTATATTCCGGATTCAAATATAAAAAATATATTCGTTGGTGGTTATGTGCTTTGCAAGTGTCTTCTCCCAGTCTGTGACTTGTCTTTAATTATAAGAGCTTCTTATGTTTTATAAAATTTAAAAATATTAATGTAGTTAAACTTATTTGTACATTTTCATCTTGTTTATGGAATTCTTTATACCAGTGCCATATCTGTTTGTATCTCTGTATCTGGAACTAACCTTTGTCAATATATAGGGTAGGGTACTAATTGTTTTTCATATGGGTATCTAATTGTCTCTGTACCCTTTATTAAGGTGCTGTTCTTTTCCCTCTGATCTGAAGTCCCACCCTTGCTATATCCCTTCTAATCACGTATTCCTAGGTTCATCTCTGAGTTCCCTAGACTGTTCCATGGGAGCACTTCTACCTGGTTTTAATTTGTATAGATTTATAGCATATCATATTTGGTAGATATTCTCATTTTTCAAAGCTATCTTGGCTATTTTTTAGTTCTTTACTTGTCTGTATGAGTTTTAGAATCCAATGCTAATCAAATTCCCTAAAAATCCCTAGTGGAATTGTGATTGAAATTGCATTTAATTTATATGTTAATTGGGGAAAAGTTGACATCTTCATGACATTGATTCTTTCCTTGCTAAACTTGGGAAGAGCTCTGTTTATTTTGATCTTCTTCTGAGTCCTTCAATAAGGTTTTAAATGTTCACTATAAAAGTCTTAAACCATCTTTCTTTGTATTAATTTCTCAGTATCTTGTAGAATGAGATTTTTAAAAACAGATGTAATTGGTTTTTCTGACATTTAAAGAGACAAATTATTTCTGTATACTGATACTATATTAATCTTAATCACCTTTATAAAAGATGCAATCCTGCATTTTCTAGGTAGAAAAACACATTGTTTATAAGCAGTAACCTGAACATTTCTTTCCAGTCCCTCTCCTTCTACTTTATTTTCTTCATGGTGCCTGCAAAGGCCTCCGGAATGGGGGGTAATAGTAGCATTAAGAATGGGTATCTGTATCTTGTTTCTGACTTAGAAAGAATGTTTGCAGTTTCTCATTAAGTATATTTGCTAAAAGTTTTTGGGTCATGTTAAGTAAGCTTCCTTCTATTCCTAGTTGATTAAGAGCTTTTATCATCACATACATTATATTGGATTTTTATTAAATGCTTTCCCTGAATCTATTGAGATAATAGTGTTTTTCTATCACTGTGTTGAATATCATTAATAAATTTTCTAAAATTAAACCATCCTTGAATTTCTAGGATAAACAGTCTTTGTCTATGATTATTTACTAATGCGTTGCTGCATTGATTTTGCTAATGTTTATACTATTTGAACCTGTGTTCATAAGTGAGTATGCTATAATAACCTTTTCTCATTGTATTTTTTCCTGGTGGTTTGCATCAAAGTTATATACTAGGCACATAAAATATCTTGGGAATAATTCACTATCCTTGGTTTATGAAACTTTACAAAAGTTAAAATGATCTGTTTCTTGTATCTTAGTAGAAGCTTACAGTGGGGTTTCTTGCAGGTGCCTTCTTGCCTCCCCCATAGCCCTGGCTGATCCTTGAGCCTTTGCCACTCTTACCCTATTTAGCCTATTTGAATAGAAATGTAGACATTCTGGAGGAGAATCATTGAAATACTGAATTGTCGAATTAGTTGGGAAGGAGTAGGAGGCTATTCCCCTCTCAAGACTGAAAGAAGAAACACTACAGAGAATCAGAGACCGCAAGAAAGGGAGATGCACATCTACCTCTTGACTAGGAAGAGCCTGCCTCCAGCCTAGAAAATTGAAAAGACAGAAAGTGGCCTGGAGCAGAGGAATCAGGAAAAAAGGTATTAATGGAAGCAGCTTACACTTTAAGCATTTCACATGGCAAGGATTTGTGAATATCTTACAGGCCAAGTAGACATGGTAGAAGGAGCTGGGCTTGAGCTGTCTTGAAGAGATGCATATTGACCCCCTCAACAGTGAACAGTACACTTGGAAGGCTCTTGTGGTGTCTCCAAGAATGACAAAGGCGCTTGCAGGGAGAGAAGGCCAGTATCTGGATATTGGTCCCAGCGAGGGTAGCAATGGCCAGGTTATAATAGGAGTGGTCATGTAAGAGATGTTCACCTTCTCCTTCTTCATCATCCCAGGCCCCAAATTCTAAAGGCAGGAAGCCTCTGAACCTAAGATGCCTGGTAGTATGAGATTCAGAGGAAGGAATGGAGGACAATGAGAAGTAGGAGAGGGTGTCCCCTCTTCCCATGCAAACTCCAATCTGGAACAGGGCCAGGAGAGAGAATGGGTTGGAGAGGAAGGGAATGGGTCTGATTTGATATTTAGGTCTGAACTTTTATTCAAACTGTAGACCATTTAGTACCTGAAAGTGAGTGTTTAGCTGAGATTATGCTGTTCTTGAAAGTGACGATAGAGCTGTGGGATCTGCTTGTGGATGAGAAGAGAGTTCTGAGAGAGCAGATTTGAGGGCAGTGGTTTTTTGATCCTACACTAATGAGCTCACTCTGTTTCATAACCAGTTATACACATTTATATGCATTTTGCCTTGGAGACTTATGTTATTTAGCTCATATCTCTGATAGTTTTTCTTAAGCACTGTTATTTTTATGTTTTTTATAATTATTATTTTAGATTGCAAAAGGCCAGATTGAACCAATTAGTCACTTTCCAGGAAAAATATAATTTAAATGATTAAATGAGAATGGAACCAATCATTTCAGTGGCAATTATCTAGAATATTGTAGAATATTATAGATCCCCTTTATAATTATTCTTTCAATGCCATAAAGAACTATAGCTGTATAGCAAGCAATTTATTTACTTTCAGAAATCTGCATTATTTTGCTTATTAAAATATTTAGTTGTATCTATAAATAATATAGCAGAATTTTGCTCTATATTCCATTTATGCTATTTAAATGTCACGTTCTAGTGTTTTGGTTCATCCCTTTGAAAAATATCTCACAATATTTTCAAAATAAAATATATTTGAAAATATTTTTTCAAAATGAATAAAATATCTCTAGTTTGAAAATCAACAAGAAAGGAGCCTTTCCTGTCACCTGATTCAATAACAAAACCCAACATGTATTGAGTACTTACTATTTGCTATAGTTGGTATTAAAGGATTTATGTAATTTGTTTCATTTAATGTTATCTAATGAAGTGTCTATTCTAGGGAGAGGTGAGGGGAGAGAGACTCTACCTATTGTTTATTGCTTGAATGATGTCATTCTCTTGCCACAAGAACAGAATCTTCTGAAAGTAGAATCATGGTCTGTCTTGGCCAGGGTTGTATCTCTGGTACCTGTCACCACAGAAGATGCTCAATAAATATTTCTTGGATCCATGTTGAACAAATGTTGAATATCTCCTATAATACCCATTTGATGACATACAGAGATACTGTTTAATTCTCTGACAGTCCACAAAACATGAATAAAAGAGAAGAGAGAACTGTTACCATATAAAGCCACATAATCAGAAGTTATCCATGAAAAATAAACTAGGCATAAGCTATACCATAAAAAGTATCATATGTCCCACAAGCGAATTTGGGAGATAAGAGTATCATTAAAAACCCTGGAAATAATGTGATCCAAATTGCCTGCTAGAAAAGTCCCTCTGGGAGTAATGTGAAGAGTGTAATTGACAGGTACAAGATTAAAGGTGGGGTGATTGCTTGTCTGATCATCAGAATCTCCTGCAAAATATTATAAAACACAGATTCCTAGGCCCTGCTTCAGATCTACCAAACTGACTTTCTGATGAGAGCCCAGGAATCTGTACTTGTTATAAAGCTCCCCAGGTGACTCTTAGCAGTCAGGTCTGTGAACCCTGGAATCTGATTACCACATTATTCCTGGTGATAGAGGATGAAAGCCTACCCTGATGCTGTGGCAGTAATGTCCTCCAACCAGGCTTGGATAGACTATCTTTCGGAGGCACTTTGTCATTCAAAGGTAAAAAAGATAGGGCTGGGTACAGTGGCTCATGCCTGTAATGCCAGTACTTTGAGAGGCTGAGGCTGGCGGATCACAAGGTCAGGAGTGCAAGACCAGCCTGGCCAATATGGTGAAACCCTGTCTCTACTAAAAATACAAAAATTAGACAGGTGTAGTGGTATGTGCCTGTGGTCCCAGCTACTCAGGATGCTAAGGCAGAAGAATCGCTTGAACCCAGGAGGTGGAATTTGCTGTAAACCAAGATTGTGCCACTGCACTCCAGCCTGGGTGACAGAGTGAGAGAAAAGTATATAGATTATTAAAGGGGCAGCATTAAGGATGAAGCTCATGAATCCCTTATTGTTTTTAAGTGCTCTGTTTGTTTTTCCTAGTTCCTCTTTAGAGAGCAAAGACCACCTACAGGCACCAGACATACAAGAACACGGCACAAAGAAATTAGATGAAAGTGAAGATGATTTGGAATTCTGGAATAAGCCCTGTTTGTTTACTCCTGAATCAAGATTGGAAACTCTTAGACACATGGAAAAACAACGGAAAAATCAGGAAAAATTAAGGTATTTCATTCTTTCCTATGAGAGGGAAACAGTACTCAACTTTGGACTAGATTTTCATGATTGCCCATTATTGTTTTTCTCAAGTATAGCTTCTTATTGAATTGGATTGGCTAACACTCATTAATATCAAAGTACCTTCTTTAGAACATCATGAGTTATGACATTTTAGGTAGAGGTTTGTCTGTTTGAATGTTTTTACCTTTTTACCACTTTAAATATACCTAATAATAGTATATTAGGGTACACTAATATATTAGTATTTCTAGCCTAGAAAAAGGTCATTTTGTGGAATGAATGGGCTCCGTTTTAGTCTGTTCTATTAATTTACAAAGTGAAGAATTGGAAATTAGTTTCATTAGACATTTTATTTTTCTAATACAACTTTTTTGGTCACTTAACAGCATGATTTCACTCTTGAGTTGTTTACATATAGTTCGATGATTTATTAGAAGTTAGGATTTTTATGCTATTATTTTCAGAGCAGCTTTTTCAAAAATAGATTTTATATCATTCCATTTCATGTCATTGCTTAAGTCTAGTATGTAAAATATATCACTTATGGGAATACTTATTATTCATGAGCTTGAGAATGTAATAAAGTAGCCCTGAAATATAGTAATCTGCATGGCAATGATTCAAGTGAAACAAAACACAATATCTGTCCCTGTGATTAACAACTAAAAGCAAGAAACTAGAAGTTAAAAAAAAATATTTGAAATCTCAGCTGCTTTTATAAAATTTTTATTAGTTAGAAGTATAGAGAGGTAAAACAATCAAAAATCAAATTTTATCTAAAATACTTGTTTGTAAAACGTTGTGATTTACACACTAAGGTACCACATAGTCCTTTGGGAAAAGCATTGAATAAGATTATATATGCATGTCTTGACTCCACTGTTACCCTCTGTATGATGTTGGCAAGTACCTAACTTCTCATCTGTTTCTTCATCTGCTAAACAGGGATTATCATACCTGTCTTACCCACCCCACTGTGCTGGTGAGAAAATCAGATGAGCCTGTACATGTAAAACTGCTTTGCAGATTCAAGAGCCCTTTGAAATGGAGTTCTACATGTTTATAGAATGTGAAATATTTCATGCATATATACCCATACACACATACGTTATATTTATGTATCTGTGGCCATATATATATATAAAATCTATTATATATTGAGCCTGAAAGCAGGAGAAATTTTTTTACTCCCTGACACCTAAGAAAGTAAGGCTGAATTGAATAGGGATCTGAGTCACTCTGTTTTGGACACCTTAGTTTGCCCAATCCAGTGGTTCCTGAGATGTTTGCCTCTGACTGTATTGCCATTTTTATTAACTGGATGTAAACAGAGACAAAAGAAATCTTTTGTTCCTAACTGTGATAGGCTTTATACTGAGTAGGGTGAAGCCAAGGACTTGTGGATGCCCCTTAATTGTCCTGGATCATTGAAATATTAACTCCATTAGATCTGGAGGCCCAGTTTAAGATGCAGAAGAATGTGAAAGATTTTTTTTCAAAATAAAGTTAACTGTCACAAAATCTATATTAAAAATACAATAGAAATTTAAGGCAGAGAATCGCCAGCAATTCCATCATCTAAACAGATTTGTCCATCTGATCTAGATATTGTCCACATATCCCTATTTAAGTTTCTATATATTTTCAGTAGTCTTTTAAATAGAATTTACATACTGCATTTTATTACATATTACTCCATTAACCTTCTATTATTTGCTTCCTTTCTTTACCTCCTATCCAACCCTTCAATGTAATGAGTGTCAACAGGCTTGTGTTGATCTCACTACATATTTTCTTACCCTTTATAACTGTATAAATTATCTCTGCAAATGTAAGATGTGGGATCTTTTGTAAAACAAAAATGGATTTATATCTTATATATTTGTTCTTACTAAACATATCATCAGGCTGGGTACGGTAGCTCACGCCTGTAATCCTAGCATTTTGGGAGGCTGAGGCAGGCGGATCATGAGGTCAGGAGATCAAGACCATCCTGGCCAACATGGTGAAACCCTGTGTCTACTAAAAATACAAAAATTAGCCAGGCATGGTAGTGCGCACCTGTAGGTCCAGCTACTCAGGAGGCTGAGGCAGGAGAATCGCTTGAACCTGGGAGGCAGAGGTTGCCGTGAGCTGAGATTGTGCCACTGCACTCCAGCCTAGGCAACAGAGTGAGACTCCGTCTTAAAAAAAAAAAAAAAAAATCAACACTTTTCTAAATCAATAGGTAAAGAACAAAAATCAACACTTTTCTAAATCAATAGGTAAAGAACAAACACATTTTTAAATAGCTGCAAAATATTTTATAGCACGAATGAAGCACAGTTGTTCCGACCATTCCTCCACTGATGGACATTCAGAACAGTTCCAGGGGTTTGCCACTGTAAATACTGCAGTGAGAAATACCCTCTTACATAGATTTTTATGTGCTGGTATTTTTATTTATATTGAATAGATTCTACTTGTTATGTTAAATGTTGTGTTTTAGCTAAAGCAGAAGCTGTATGCACAAATGGAGAGTTGACAGTTATCTGGGTAAATAATGTTTAAAATAGACTTATTTAAATATTAATAGATAGTCATGAAAAGGAGTTTTCTTCCCCCATTCAAATTATCTGGAAAATTGTCTTGGTCATTTTTTGCTGTACAGATACAGATACAGCCATATAAAAAATCTGGTTTTATTGTCAGTTCTCAGCATAGAATTCAAGGAATGGACCTTAGAACAATGAATTGTTGATGTGTTCATAAAAGTTCAATTAAGTTTTCTTAAACTGCTTCACAAAAATGTGTTAATTATATATTCTCTTTGCTTATTTTTTTCTCCCCACACTGCTTCTTGTTCTCACTCACCACCAATCTTAAGTGAAAAAAAGAAGAAAGTGAAACCACCCAGGACTTTGATCACTGAAAATGGGAAAGCTCTGAATGTCAATGAGCCCAAGTATGTGAGGCCAAATAGAGTTAGAGATACAAAAGTCGTGGTGTTGGTCAATCATTGTTTCAATTCCAGGTTTGCTCTGCAAAGAATCTATCTGACTGCTCTTAACAAGTTTGATGAGTATAAAAATAATGTCATTTTGTGCACATGTAAAGGCAAAACATCTATTATGTTTTCGAATGAATAATTTTCTTGTCATCTAGAAAATGATCTTCACATACAGAGTTCTTAGTTATTTATATACCCCATGAAACTTTGGACCGTATACAGTTTTATGCCTAAAAATTGCTACCACATTCTTGTTGTGTTTGTGAATTTTTAAAACCCTGCCATGAGCAAACTGGTTGAGAATACTGATGCACCTCCTATACATCTACTTTATACTCTGAAGCACATCTACAAAACATTTGAGAGCTAGGGAAGGAAATCAGTATAATAACCTCAACGATTTTAATGAGAGGAAAGATACTCAAATTGGAAATATTCAAGTATAATAATATCTGATCTACTCTGTTTGTCTGTCTTAAAGTTTGAAAATAGAAAGCAGGACAGAAAAGCCTTTTGTAGTCTACAGAGAGAGCCTACAGACTAAATCTCATTCACTTCATTTTATTATTCAAACCTATTTCCCGCCACCATTTCATTTGCTCTGTCATGACCACGGTGAAGGCATGGTAGTGCGCACCTGTGCGTACAATCTTGAATTATTCCAGGGCATCATTTATCTTCACAGCAATCCCAGGTAGTAGACAGTATTTGTTTTTCACATGTCCAGAACCTGGGCCTGAGAGGGGTGGAGTGACGTGCCCAGGTCACACGACTAGTAGGTGGTGTTCCGGAATTGCTCATGCTAACCTAGTTCTAATGATTTCTAGGATGATATTTATAATGTCTTCCCCTTACCCACATTCAGCAACAGGAATGCAAGACAGAACACTAGGCCAGGCACTGGATACAGCATTGACTATGATAGGTTTCTTTGTGACCTCCTGGAGTTCAGAAACCGAGTTTAGGCCGTCTCTAGCCTACAACAGAGCTCAAGGTAGACTCCTGGAACTTCACGTGTTCCTGGTAAGACCACCACTCCTCCCACAGACTGCAGCCTCACCTGCCTCTAAAACCAGTTCCACAGAGGGCGATTACCCACCACCTTCCCACTTGCACTGCCTCCAGCCATGTGATCATCCCTGTTCCTGCCCTCCCAGGTCATGCACCACCATCCAGAATATTATAGCCAAATGGTGCTGATCCAACTCAACTCATTCTCACCCCTCCTGGAACTCCCAATTTTCCCTGTGGCCCCTGGAACTTGAGCTTGGTCAGCAAAGCCTGAAGCCTCCTCTGTTTCTCCTCTTTCACTAACTGAAGCAGAGGATTCGCTTCTGTGGCTGTCCACTGTTCTTTCTCATCACCTATACCATGGGGACAGTTACAGCCTATCTCCACTTTCAGGCCATCTTTCTCCCTTTCTCTGTTGAAGCACAAGCCATGTAGATATGCCACCCCTATGCCTTCTTCCCACAGTTATCTACATCACCCTGATCAACCTCAACCCTCTGCCTCTCAACTCATTGAAGATACTTCACCAAGACCAGTGTCTCTCTCTGCCTCTGCTGCCATCATTGGTCTAGGTGATGACTTTATCAAACATGTAGGTGATCCACCAGAAGCCCTGGCCTCTCAGTTCCCCAACCAGCTCACTTCTCCATCTCAGCTTAGCCACCTGATTCCATTTTCATTCCTAGATTTGCCACCATCCATATCTCTTCCACCTCAGAAACTTCACCTCGAGTGTCTCACTAGACCCCATTTCTTATGCTCCTGGGGTACTCCCTCCACTCTAACAACCACGTTATGAAGACCGTAAGATAATTCACACTCCTATTTTCTTACTGTCCCTATCCTCTCATCTCTGGCCCTGCTTTAGTTTTATGGTTCATCAAAGTAATCAGTCCTTGGCCCAGGTGCAGTGGTTCGTGCTTATAATCCTAGCACTTTGGGAGGCCGAGGCAGGCAGTTCGCTTGTGATCAGGAGTTCAAGACTAACCTGGCCAACATGGTGAAACCCAGTCTCTACTAAAAATAAAAAAATAGCAGGCATGGTGGCACATGCCTATAATCCCAGCTAGTTGGGAGGCTAGGGCACAAGAATCGCTTGAACCCAGGAGGCGGAGGTTGCAGTGAGCCGAGATCACGTCACCGCACTCCAGCCTGGGTGACAGAGTGAGACCCTCTCTCAAGAAAAAAGAAAAAGAAATCAGTCATTGGCATATGTCGTCAGCTCTCTTGCTTTTTCTCTTTCCATCATCTTCACCTTACAAAACTCCAACCCCATTTAAATCTAGCACAATACCCACTCTTGAGCTGGTCCTCCTAGATGGCTGGAGGAGACCATTCACCTCTACTTGCTGGTCTTACCTTAAATTCATAACCACAGATCTCAAATGGACTCTACCAATATTCCTGTATTTTCCTGGGTCGTCCATTCTCCACTCTCCTGCAGGCTGCTCTCATACCTTCTCTTTCCTTGCTTCCAACATCATCTGACATTTCCATAGTTTTAACTGAGGACCTTGTTTCCTATTTCATTGAGAAAAATAGCAATCAGGAGGTTTCTTTTCCTCCCCATATCCAATTTACAGTGTTTCTGGACCTGTCCCATGTACTCCCCTCTCTTCTGCTGCTGTTAGTGAACTTCCCATCAGAAATCAGTCTCTGTAAGCACTGTGACTACATCCCCTCTTATTATCACAGACTTGGTTGCTCAGTTATCCTGGGTCTTCTGCACTATTTCTCTCCACTCTGCTAGATCAATCTCACCCATGTGCAAACAAATTGTAACAATCTCTTGTTTTAAAGGAAATGAAAGCAACAACCTCCCTTCCCCTGGTTTCCTTTCCAGCCACAGCACTTTTCTCTGCCCCTGTATTTAGTGAAATTGTCTGTGCTTGGTCTCCAGTTTCTAACTTCACATTCCTTCTTGAAACCACTTCTGTGTATTCCATCACTTCCTTAGCCATGTTATTTCCACATTCAGTGTTCAATTCTTAGTCTTTGTCTTACTGGACAAAGCAGATTTGGATGACGTTGTTCAGCACCATCCTTCTTAAAGCAATTTCTTTCCTTTGCTTCTGATTTTTCTTCTACCGTACTGACCGCTCATTTTCCGAAACTTTGATGGATCCTTTCCGTTTTGTTTTTTCGATGCTGCGTAGCAAACTCCTCAGCTGTCTTCTCTTTTCGCATTCATTCTTCAGGGTTCTCACCAAATCCCATGGCTGTAAACACTCTCTTTACGATGCTCCTAACCAGATCCAACCTCTTCTCCGAGCTCAAGATATGTGTATTCAGTTAGCTGTTTGACATCACTGGGTGGATGTAAGAGAGTCATCACACACTTACTAGGGCTAAAAAATAACCCCTGATTTCCAGCCTCCCTACCACTCTCCAGCATAGCGTGCTGTGTCCCTGTGTTCTCCATCTCAGTAACACACGTTCACCCCTTGGTTAAGACCAGAAACCTTGGATTCTCCCTTGATTCTTCTTTTCTCATTTTATCAGTGAGCCCTATGAACTCTTCCTTTGATATTGTCAAAATCCAGCCATATCTCACTGACCCCACCACCACCACTAGCCAACACTGCCTTTGGCTCGGACAGTTGTAATTGCTTGTTAAGCAGTCCCCATGGTTCAATTGTTGGCCTCCTACATTCTGTTTTGCTCAGCCGAATAAAAAAGCAAAAAGGGAAGAAAGGATACATGCTCCTTTTCTTAAGGGACACTCTTAGAAAGTGCCATACACACCTTTCCCTTGCATGACCTCACCTACCTGCAAGGGAGGCCAGAGAATACAACCTTTCCTATACATAGCCATGCACCTAGTTAAACATGGTTCCTGTTACGAGGAATAAAGGGGAAGCAGATAGCAACAAAAGAGCAATCTCTGCCGTAGGAAACTTCTCTGAAATTACTTTGCAAGTAATAAGCAATTGAGGCAGAACAGGAGCACACAAAAGGTCCCTGAGATGAGGTTCTATAAATGCAGGGGTCATTTGAGACCCTGAAGAAATCCCACAGGCCTGCGCTATTGAAAGCGATGAGACCGTGCCTGCCACAAGCAGCAATGCTGCTAACAGTCAAATCTATGGCGAACTTTACATTTTCCTAAACAATTTAGCTTATGTTCTTTAATATCGTTGAGTCATATATTTTATAGAGTAATACAGTAAGTGTAATGCTCAGAAGAAAATTGACCAGACAATTCTGATAGTGTGTTGACAGTATGGAAGCTAAACCGAGGACTCTGCCTCAGGGAACAGTTGAATGATGGCGAGCTTTGAAATCCTGCCTAGCCAGGCTCATGCAGACAAAGTGCAAAGGCATTTGTTATAATTCAGCTATGCCAGTCTCTGAACCTCTGTTTGTTTATCTGTAAAACAGAAGTAATAGATGATGGGCGGTCTCCCAGGCTTTTTCAGGGCATTGGAAAGGTCGGTAGTGAAGGAAGAAAAAAGATGGCAGGAAAGAAGGAGGGCAAGACTCTTTAAAACTTAAAAAATAGAATGCTGGATAAAGGGGAGGCAAAAGCAGCTTTAGTTTTCCATAAATAATTCCATTGTTTCAGTTTGCTTCTGGCAAACTCACAGGAAAAGGGAAAGAAAACTTTAGCCACCAGATGTCTCTGTCTCTGCACCAAAGCTAATTTTTCATGTGTAATTTACCTTCAGATTCTCAAATTTAAACACTGTAAACACAAATAATTTATTAATATGTTGTAGGTCTCTCTGAAATTTTAAAATTATCATTGGTATTTGATTTTCCAACCACCAAATAAGTTGTCATTGGATATTATTATATAATTATTATCTAATTTGCTTCTGATTTTGTGATGGGAATATTTATACAGTATCCTAAAGACATCTTTCCCCCACCCAATTTATTATTCTTAGAATTGACTTCTCTTTGAACGATAATGAAAAGCAGATCATCCTGGACCTTGCTGTCTATAGGTAAAAACATTTTAAATGTATTTATTGTATGGCGTTTCTGTCTGTTTGCATTATCAGTAGCAATTTTTGAGTTTTTTGAAATAGAATTGAGTTAGCTCTATAGTTAAATGAAGCTTATTTGTAAAGACAGAGAAGTTAATATAATTTTTAAAAGCATGAAAATGAAAGGAAAGGTAAAGAAAGCCACAGTTTTATGACTATAAACTCAGGAATACCTAAGGCAGAGTTTAAATAATTATCAGACCTGTGCTGTTTTCTGATGCTGATACTAGAAGGACCCCACTCTGCTCTCTGCTGCCATAGTCCTCGGTTTTTGTCTAAAATGCCTTGCTATAGTAATAGGTATCAGGTGGTCGACTCTCCTCTCTCTGTCCCATCTTAGTGGCCTGGAGGGAACACCTAGCAGCCTCTGTCACCAGTGGATCCTTCCCTGTGGCGCTCTCACATCCTGCCTGTTTTCTCATCTGTGGGCAGGAGTGGCACAGATCTGCCTGCCTTCATCACTACACCCAAAGTATTATGCCTCTCTCCTCCCTAAAACTCCATGACTTTGACACTTAAACCCTCAGCCTATATCACCTTCTGCCCCTTTTGTGGAAGCATCTAAAGGCATCAGGTCATTCTGCCTCATTCCCTGAAGATTTTAGGCACTGGTTCACTGTGCTGATACATCCTTCTGATGATCTCAGTGTGCCCTGGCATCATCTCAGAGGCTGCTTGCCTGTGCTTCCCTCTGCCTGTATTGTCCTTTGTGTCCTTGTGACTTGCTGCCTTGTGTCCTTCAGGCCTCTGTTCAGATGTCATCTAACCTCATTAGAGGGGCTTCTCTGCCCCACCATCTAACATAAAGCAATACCTACCCCTGCCCAGCACTTTCTTCCACTCTTCCTGCTTTTTGGTTTCCTGCTGACAAAGTGTAAATTTACTTGTATTAAAATTTGTGGTTAGAGCAGGAAACTTGTTTTGTTTGTTCTTTCATCTCTATGTCTCCACACCTAAAATGATACCTGGCACCTGTTAGTTGCTCAATAAATACAAGAATGAATGAATGAATGAATGAATGAATGAATACTGATAATGGAGTATAACATTTACATGTGTGAATGAATGGATGAATGTTTACATTCATGAATTATAATAAGTGGCTTTCTCTTTTTAATGGCTTTCAATGTGCCCCTGTTTATTTAATCTCTCACTAACCCTGGGAGGTAGGAGGGATTATTACCCAAGAGGGAGTAAATTTTCCAAGAATGAGTCTTGTCAAAGTGAACAGGGATAGAAGGAGCGCGATCATCAACCCTCAGTACTTCAACCAACTTTGCTGATTTGATGGTGATAAAATACACAACTTAAAATCTATCATTTTAACTATTTCAAAATATACACCACCGTGGTAATTAATAAATTCACAATATTGTACAACCATTACCATTGTCTAGTTTCAGAAAATGTTTATCACCCCAAAAGGAAACCCCATGGCCCTTAAGCAGTCACTGCCCCTTCTCCCTCTTCATGACAACCACTAACCTGTGTTCTATCTGTATAGATTTGCCTACTTGGTATGTTTCATATTAATGGAATCAAACAACACGTGACCTTTGTAACTGGCTTCTTTCACTTACCATAATGTCTTCAAGCCTCATCCATGTAACATATGTCAGAATTTCCTTCCTTCCTTTTTATGGCCAAGCAATATTCCATTGCATTGATATACCACATTTTGTGTATCTGCTCACCAGTTGGTGGGCGTTTGGGTGGTTTCCACCTTGGCTCTTGTGAACCAGGGCTGCTCTTCATGTGGTCCCTTCCTCTCCGCACCGAGCTGTCTCTGATCAGCTGTGTGCCTTTCCACACCTCCTGTCAATTCTGCCTGCTTGCTGCCAGGTCATCTGCCTTTACAAAGCTTCCGGCTCGTCTCTAGCTAGCTTCATATCCTCTGCTCCTCCAGCTTCCAAAGCTGCCATTTCTACTGTTTTGCAGACAAATCACTGTTTCATGCTTGTAAGTTCTTTCCATTTTTAGGCCCTGTGTCTGGAGTTTAATGAATGTATGACCCTTCTTTTTCAGCTGTTGGCTGCTTCCTATTCAGTCCTCAAATGAAACATTCCTCATTCCCATGCATGTGCATTTTAAGGGGTGGTAGTATTTCTCCTGTCTATGTAGTAAAACTCTTTCATTTCCATGATTCTGTCTAAATGAATTATGCTATAATTCCTGGTTATCTTTATGGGCACATGGGCGTATACTTGAAAGTTAAATTCATTCACTCACATCTGCTTCCTGCCTTTATTCAACAAGAATCTATAGAATACCTACTATGTGCCAGGCGTGGGGAACTATAACTGGTACGTTCTAAATACAGTCATGATCTTCTATCACTTAGAGCCCAGTGGGGGAGGAGGACAGACAATCAGCAGGCATCTAATGAGTTAAAAGGAAGAAGGATGCTGTCAAGGAAAGGGACAGTGTTCAGGGATGAGAATAATGCTGTGTGGGAGTGGTCAGGGAAAGGGGGTGACATGAGCAATGACAATTGGAGGATGAGAAGTAGCTTTTTCTGCAAAAAACTGTCAGAAGATTATTTCTGGCAGAGAAAGGCCTTATAGGTAAAGACAGATGAATATTTTAAGGGTCCAAGCATGGAAAATAATATATTATTCATTAAAGCATACATATCACATGTGAAGTTGTAGAAATTGTTTTTAAATGGCATATAATAATACATTTTTAACACTAGCTATGTATTGGGTACTATGCATTTTCCTTCCTAGCAATCTTAGGGCTAGGTGCTAGTAGTATTCCCATTTTACAGAAGAGGAAACCGAGGCCTAGAGAGGTTAAAGAATGTGGTCCCAGATAATAAAGCAGGAAGGGGAGGAGCCAGTTCCCCACAAGCCTGTGTGACTTCAAACCTATGTCTGTAACCCCTGTATTAGCTTACCTGCCTTAGCATTTGTGATTTTTAAAAGAGTTCTGTGTTTTCTAATGTTCACAATGAGTATTTTGAAATATATGAACATAATTATTTGGCTAAGCTTCTGATTTTAATGAGTGATGTGAAATCTAAATCTTTTATTTGCTCATGAGTGGAAGAGAATAATTGCCACCTGATCTTGGGGTCACTGCCATAAATGAAAGGGTTTGCTTGTTCAGCAGGATGTGCCTTTGCCGGGAGAAGCAAGCAGTTTTCCAGGAGAGATAGTATGAGGGCAGCTGCAGAACAGCTGCAGGAGATCCAGAGCCACCAGGGAAGCAGGAGCTGGTGGTTGCAGGCCTCAAGCAGAGTAGAATCAGCATTCCTGGCTATTCAAGTCTTAGGGGCTTAAAATAAAATATTCATGAAAGAGCATGGCAAGCTGTTTTTTGCAAACCTCTGGTGTTTCAGACCTCGGATATTTTTGGGTTAGGGGCAATCAATGCCAAGTGTACTTGTGGGTCTAAAAATGAAATTGCTGATATGTTGAATTTCCTTTGGTCTGGGGATTAATTTAAGGCTAATTTGTAAAGACCTGGTTAGCACAGATATTTTAAATGCCCTTCATTTAAAATGGTTCTATAAATGTGAATTTGTATTTACACTTCTTCAAACTTGATATTTTTTAAAATTGTAAGATTTTGTGTGTTTAATTTTGAAGATATATGGATACCTCCTTAATTGACGTTGATGTGCAACCAACTTACGTGCGTGTAATGATCAAAGGAAAGGTAAGTAGAACCCTGTAGGCTATTACAATTTCAAAGGCTAAGCTTTGAACTAAGCTGTGGTGCCTCAATTTTTTTTAAGTATTATTAAAATAGAAAAAGGGGCCAGTCGCAGTGTCTCATGCTTGTAATCCCAGCACTTTGGGAGGCCAAGGCAGGTGGATCACCTGAGGTCAGGAGCTCAAGACCAGTTTGGCCAACATGTGAAACCCCATCTCTACTAAAAATACAAAATTAGGCCAGGCGCAGTGGCTCAAGCCTGTAATCCCAGCACTTTGGGAGGGCGAGGCGGGTGGATCACGAGGTCAAGAGATAGAGACCATCCTGGTCAACATGGTGAAACCCTATCTCTACTAAAAATACAAAAAATTAGCTGGGCATGGTGGTATGTGCCTGTAATCCCAGCTACTCAGGAGGCTGAGGCAGGAGAATTGCCTGAACCTGGGAGGCAGAGGTTGCGGTGAGCCAAGATCGTGCCATTGCACTCCAGCCTGGGTAACAAGAGTGGAACTCTGTCTCAAAAAAAAAAAAAAAAATACAAAATTAGCAGACATGGTGGTTTATGCCTGTAATCCCAGCTCCTCCGGAGACTAAAGCAGGAGAATCCCTTGAACCTGGAAGGCGGAGGTTGCAGTGTGTCAAGATCACCCATTGCACTCCAGTCTGGGCTACTAGAGTGAGACTCTGTCTCAAAAACAAACAAACAAACAAACAAACAAACAAACAAAAATAGAAAAAGGGAAACTAAATAGACTGCTACTTTTTAGCACATGGTTTTATATCATGGGAGTGGTATATGGTGGGAATGGCTACTGACAATATGTAGTTGAATATCATTAATATTTTAAATCTGTGGTTTTGTGGTATACTTTTTCAAAGCTGATAATATAATCACATGTGTGGGAGCCCATGCATGAAATTAAATAGTACACCCGTTCTAAGTTGTCAATGATTTCATTCATAACAACTATAATTTTATTATTTCTAAAATACCATATTTTACTAATTTAGAACATTCATATGGGCTTGAAGATTAACTTGAAGATTTTTTAATGGAAATATGTTTGCATTTTGACAATGTTTTCTCTATAAATTACTTTTTAGCCATAAATAAACCCATGAACGTTTCACTGTTTGTGACTGATAACTGTTCTTAGACTATTTGTTAAAATAGGTAAAATAGTTCGTGCATAGCAAGCATAGCTTATATGTATTTTTATTAAGTTTAAGCATGTTTCTTAATTGAATGGTGTACCTTGAATTTGTAATGAAAATACCCCTTGTAGTAAGCATCTCATGTAATGTCCTTGCTCTCAATGATACTTTCTACTTATTTTCAGCCATTTCAGCTTGTCCTTCCTGCAGAAGTGAAACCTGATAGCAGCTCTGCTAAAAGATCTCAGACAACAGGTCATTTGGTCATCTGCATGCCCAAGGTAGGTCATGTCATTGGGGTCAATTTCAAGTCTGGATATGATGGTTCCTGAAGGCTCTTGACTTGTCAGGACTAATGATGACTTCTGATTAAAGTACATTTTAGTTGGGAGAACCAGGAAATCTCACACTAGCTGAGGTAGGAGAACAAAGGTGTGTGAGAACAAAGAACTCAGACTGGGGTATGTTTCGGGCCTCAAGTGATTTATCCTTTCCTGAAAGAACTTAAGGAAATTAAACATAAATATTAATTTGTCTGTAGAAAGATAGTTCATTTAAATCATAAATAAATAAATAAAAACCATAAAATGGTTCATTTAAATCACAAATAAATGGTTCATTTCTTGTAACAAGATAGGAGAAGGTAGAGGGCAGGGAGGCCAGGCACATAGGGTCGAGATCTTTCTGATATGTCAGTTCTGTCCTCAGACTGGTTTTTTTCCATGAGATGTGCACTAGCAGTGACTTGGGCAGCAACTGTTCTTGTTCCTACCTCACTTGAGATAAAAAAGACAGAGGATCAGAGAAAGAAACACAGAGAATCTCTCTCATCACAATGAAACAGAAGTTCCTCTGGACTGATTAGGTCAGTTTAGCTAAAGAACCCACCAAGTCTTGATTAGCATAATCCTGAAGCATTAAAACCAATCTCTGGCCAAAAATGTGGTAGTGTAATCAGACTCCCCTGGATTCAACATCCATAGATTCAACCAACCATGAATCAAAAATATTCAGGAAAAAAAATGTGTCTGTACTGAACATATACAGGCTTTTTTTCTTGTCATGATTCCCGAGACAATACAGTGTAATAACTACTTACATTTACATTGTATCAGTTATTGAAATTAATCTGGAGATGATTTAAAATGTACAGATGTGTGTGGGTTATATACAAATACTATGTCATTTTTAACTGGGGACTTGAGCATTTTAAGATCTTGGTGTTCAAGGGATGTCCTGGAACCAGATCCCCACAGACACCAAGAAGTATTTTGATTGGTTTCTATTAATCATACCTCATTCTATAAGATAGGGGTAGGGTCAGCTTTGCCCAAGACACTGAGATTTCAAAGGGGAAGAGTAGACAAACCAGTCAAAATTGGATTCTGCTGGTGAGGAAAAAGAGGAGAATGGGGGAGTGTCAGCTATGAAGAGTATAAACTTGATTAACCAAAAAGATTTCTATAATAATTTAATAATCCTGCATTTTCCTGTAGCCAATTTCCAACAGATTCATTATAGGTAATCAATTATGTATTTGTACTCGGAGGCAATAAAATAGCAAATACAATTTGTTGTCAAGTAATAAAATAACAAACACAGCTGTAAGAATTGTATTGTCTTTGATGACTACAACAAATTAAAGAAATAATTCTATAGTAACCAGAATATTCTGTAGGGAAATCCAAGAGATAAATTAATTACTTCAGCACTTCGATATAGACTTTGTATAACACTGTGATTAGCAGCCTATTGTTTTTGTATGTGTGTGTGAAACTTCTGAAAGTCGAAAAGCCAAAAAATTAAATAGAGACTGCTAATTCCTAATGGGAAATCAAGACAGATGATTTGTGTATCCTTTGCAAAATCCTAGGCAATTGATGAAAAAAACTCTACTGCACTGTTTATGAGTCTAAAACAACTGAAGCATTCCATTTCCCTTTTTTCTTTTTCTTTTTTATCTGTCTAAATTTTTCACATGAAAATAATAATAAATGGCTTATTGAAGAAAAAGCATTTTAGAAGTGCTTGGTTGAAGATGAAATAATTTGTATATGTAACAACTAGGAATAGTTATATTTTCCTCATTAATAAATTATGAATAATATTTTTCCTTGAGGTATATATTTTTTAAGATTTTCGACTACTATGTTAAAGTCATATTGATGTGTAAGTTCATCATCTCCTAACATTATTCCTTTTAAAAGGTAGATAGTAGAAACAAACTTTGGGGAATAATTTCTTGCTCAAAATTGGTCATCTTTTTCATCATGAGTAGTTATTTGCAAGGACTATAAAGCTCAAACAATAACAGATCTTAAAAACCACCCAAAAGTTTTGAAAAGTCTAATTTCATTTATACTTAATATTAAAAAATGTATATTTATGAAAATTAACATCTTTCTAATTACTATTGATGGAAACATTTTAAATACCAAAGTTTAATCCACTGAGCAATTCTATATTAGTCTAGATTTATGAGCTTACTGTGGAATTATGTGAGTCTGACTTGCATTATAATAAGTGAAGGTAATTCTTAGAGTTATAAAACATATTGTAAGAATCAACCTTTGTCCATTATCAGACAAATTGATAGAGAAACTGTGATATGTGTGTGTGTGTCACCATTTAATATAAGAAAATATCATTCAGCCATAAAGAGAATGAGATTTTGCCGTTTGCCACAACATGAATGAACCTGGGTGACATTAATGCCAAGTGAATTAAGCTAGACACAGAAAGAGAAATATTGCATGATGTCATTCATATATGGAATATTAAAAATAAATTCAAATATACAGAGAAAACAAAACAGTGGTTAGCAGGGATGAGAGGGGTGGTGGATGGAGGAAGTAAATAAGGAAATCAGAGGCACAAAGTAGCAAGTATGGTGGGTGAACAGGTCTAGAGATGGAATGCACAAGATGAGGATTATGGGTAATAAAATTATACTGTATTTGGGATTCATACTAAATAAGTTTACCTACTCTTGCCACAGAAAGAGAAAATGAGCAACTCTGAGAGATGATGGTTATTTTAATTTACTTCAGTATAGTAGCCTTTTTATTACTATGTATGTATATTCCATAACATCATATTGTATACCATAAATATACACAATAACATTCTTTAAAAAAATATTCACAATCTGTGCATCTGACAAAGGGCTAATATCCAGAATCTACAAATAATTCAAACAAATTAGCAAGAAAAAAAATCCCATAAAAAAGTGGGCTGAGGACATGAATAGACACTTCTCAAAAGAAAATATACAAATGGCCAACAAACATATGAAAAAGTGCTCAACATCACTAATGATCAAGGACATGCAAATTAAAACCATGGTGCGATACCACCTTATTCCTGCAAGAATGGCCATTATCAAAAATTAAAAAAAAAAAAAAGCCATTGGTGTGGATGCTGTGAAAAAGAACAAGAACACTTCTTCACTGCTGGTAGGAATGTAAACGTGTACAACTACTATGGAAAACAGTGTGGAGATTCCTCAGTGAACTAAAAGTAGAACTACCATTTGATCGAGCAATCCCACTACTGGGTATCTACCCAGAGAAAAAGAAATTATACAAAAATACACCTGCACACACATTTATAGTAGCACAATTAAAAATTGCAAAAATATGTAACCAGCTCAAATGCCCATCAATCAATGAGTGTACAAACTGCATACACACACACACACACACACACACACAAACACACACGTGTCTATATGAATACTACTAAACCATAAAAAGGAATGAATTGAATTAATGACATTTGCAGCAACCTGGATGGGATTGGAGATTATTATTCTAAGTGAATTAACTCAGGGAAGGAAAACTAAACATCGTATATTCTCACTCATAAGTGGGAGCTAAGCTATGAGGATGCAAAGGCATAAGAAGGATACAGTGGACTCCGGGGGCTCAGAGGGAAAGGGTGGGAAGGGGATGAGGATTAAAATATTACAAATCAGGTTTAGTGTATATTGTTTGGGTGATGGGTGTACCAACATTTCACAAATCACCACTAAAGAACTTACTCATGTAACCAAATACCATCTTTTCCCCCAAAAACCTATGGAATTAAAAAATTAAAACACATGACATAAAAATTACCAACTTAAAGCCGGGCGCGGTGGCTCAAGCCTGTAATCCCAGCACTTTGGGAGGCCGAGGCGGGTGGATCACGAGGTCGAGAGATCGAGACCATCCTGGTCAACATGGTGAAACCCCGTCTCTACTAAAAATACAAAAAATTAGCTGGGCATGGTGGCACGTGCCTGTAATCCCAGCTACTCAGGAGGCTGAGGCAGGAGAATTGCCTGAACTCAGGAGGCGGAGGTTACGGTGAGCCGAGATCGCACCATTGCACTCCAGCCTGGGTAACGAGAGCGAAACTCCGTCTCAAAAAAAAAAAAAAAAAATTAAAGAACTTTGTATAATTAGAATGCCTTTGGCTTCAAGTAACAGAAACTCCTTACTCAAAGTGGTTTAAATGATAAAGAAAAATATATTACTTCACCTAAAAAAAAAAAAAGAATCGCATAGACACGTACAATTTCAATTCATTCACAGCATATCATCGTCAACATGTTAAGTGATATTTAATACTTCTAGAATAGTCTTTAGTAGTTTTTAATAGTTGGATACTCTAAATCAATGTTTATTATTAGAATTGATGTTTAGTAGTTCCCTCTTGTGTCAGCATTTGTAAAGAATATTGTGAAGGACTGACCTAGTTTTGCCTATGCATGAATGATTATATCATGTTAGTTCAATGATCTTTGTATAAATTTTCTAGGGACACAACATTTGTCATTAAATCCACAAGTCTCTATGATATTTCGTATTAGATACTTTATTCAGCATTTTTTCATGATGACAAATTAATATTTTTCTCTTTTCTTATTCCTAAATGAGGCTGGATCTATATACTCTGGATATTGACAAATAGGCCAGTTTCATCAGTTTGTCTTTTCCCTGTCATGTAGCTCATGGCTATATTTTTGTTGCTGCCATGACAGTGGATGTTCCCAGCTCAGCCCCTTGTTCCAGAAGGTTTCACTCTGTGCTAGCTCTGCAGTCCTAGGTGCTTCCTAACACTCACCGCTGAGTCGGTGGCATACTACAGACTGCCATAACACACAAATATCACAGTCCCTAATATACAACCAGGACTCTTGTCCCCATTTGCTATCTTTATATCTTACCTTGTAGGTTATCACATTTCCCAGAAAGCCAGCTGTCACTGTACTTCCTCTACCATTTAACAGGGGTGA